GATGGTACAATCAAAAGACCCCAAAATTCAGGATTGTAACTTACTTTGCACAGGCTTCTAGACGCTCAGGTTTTTCCCCCTCTTGTCTTCTTTCATCTTTTGTATGTTAAACAGAACAACATTAGTATCTTTGTAATTCTTTACAAGCAGCTGTGCAATGTATAACACATTGATATGAACGGGTTCTCATAAAAATGTTTTCATATTCATGAGGAATATTTTTTTGTAATTGTTTAAAGAAACTATTTTTAATGGGAACCCATAGTCCACACATGAGCAAACATTATTTTGTACTTACACGCCAGCTGAAATGCCAATTTTTATGCTCTGAACTACTAAAGCTCTGAGTATGTGCTTATTAAGTACCATACTGTTCCAGCTGCAACTCAGTCTTGCAGATTTCAGCCCCCCATTTTTCAGATTCAATTTTAAAGAAAAAAGTTTTACAGATAAAGACCATCTACTACTACTGCCCTTATAAAATCTGACAGGAAAATCCAATGCTTAAGGAAAGAACTCAAAGGAGTAAATTATCTAAAAATAGTAAAATAAAAACTGTCAGGAAAAAATATGACTTGGTAATTTTAGTGCATGCAAAAAAATATTTCAGGTACAGCAGTCAAGTAGGGGGCTGGAAAATACATTGAACAATGTATAAGCTGAGTATGCTTTTTTATTCTTTTGGAGGAAAAGAAGGTAGGGTTATAATCAGAGCAATACAGTAAATGAGGCTACTGACATATTGATAGTTAAACCATTGTTTAAGTGCTCTGATGGATGTGAACCAAAATGTGTAGCACTTTGCTAAGTTGAACACCCTGCTATGCCACTCTCCATCTTCCTTCTTCGGTAAAATAAGAGCTGTAAAACTATTAAACAAACAACTGTGAATGACAAATAAATGGACTGGGATGAAGGTGAAGTTATACAAGTCCAGGCACTAAGAAGTGAGAAGTTCCATGGAATAAAGCAAACGAACTAGGATGGACATTAGCAATATTTGATATGCAAACTAGATGGAAAACCTACCCTTCTGTTGCTGTATCACTTTATAACCCAGAAAAGGCTTAAGTTCAAGTAATTCTAATCAGAAAAGTAAGAGATGTGCATGCACATTTATACTTATATATATTATAAGCTATATCTATTTATTTTCTGTAGTCTTGTCTCTAGGTAAAGGCCACAGAGTCCTTGGAAAATGAGAATGTTCATGCTTTAATTTTTAATACTGAACATTGTTAATCAAAGTGTAGTTTTCCTGCAACATCCTTCTGTTGTTTTTAAAAGATTATCACTGTCAATTACCTTGTTTTGTCTTTGGAGTAACAGTCAACTCAAAGTTACATATCTCGTCAGAAGTACTGATGGTATGATATACTGTTCTCACCTACATGTGTACAAATGAAACAGACAAAAGAAAACTCATAGAGCAAACAATTCTCACAACTGATGAGTAATTGTGAACATTTAAAAATCAGACAAAAGCAACCAACATATGGTATAGCTAAAAGACATCCAAAATGACTATTTTTCACCTATACATGATAGAAAGACTGAATGATTACTATAGTAGTAAACTGTAATTTTGAAAGAAAAACTGTCCCTATTTTGATTTAGAGGGTTGAAAACACTGACTAAGCAATTCCTGATACTACACATATGAGCCTGAAACACAAAAGCATTTAATTTTTAGATTCTAAGATATCATTGAGGGATAAGACAGCAATATTCCAGAGTAAGTTAGCATATTAAGGCATGCAGCAATTATTCCTCTCTAAATATTGAATGGAAAAAAAGCAAGATGATGAGAAAATGCTTGTAATGTGCATAAATTCAGCCCACACATCTAAATGAGACTGTGGTACTGCTTGCTATAAAAAAAACAAATATAAAGATGTCTTGTTCAATTAGGCATTGTTCTATACGAAAGGATAGTCAATTGATGATTTTTTTAATGAAATTAATAGAGGTGAGACATCAAAGGAGGGATAAATGGATGTCATAATAGCATTGTAACATGTTTAGTAACCAATAATACAAAGTACAGAGTAAAGAGAAAGCAAAATTATTGAGGGCAAATTTTCAAAAGCATTCACTAATTTGGGGTTCCTTTATTTTGGGGTACTCAGTTTGAGGAAACCTGGGGCCTGTCATCTCAAAGGCCACACTATTAAAAATTTAAAACTGTTAGAACTTTGGAACAGACAATTTTGCATAGGGGGGGAATAACATCCATAACTTCACCAGCAATAAATCACTAGAGGTAGTTTATTCATTTTATTTCAGGCAAAAATATCTAGATAAAATAACGAGACAATATCCTGGAGCAGTCTGATAACTTAAAACAAACTAATTACACTCAGAACTGAAGTGAACGCAGGCACCGCTCCAATTGTTATAATGGAATCACACTTCTTGACATAAGTTTTAAATGTACTCCAAACAAGATCTGCATTTCTGAGGAAGACAATAGAAAGCAGAAGGGAGGACATACAGCAGGGGTGTCAAACTTGTTTGGTTCCCCAGTCCAGATCCAGACCCTGGGGCTCCTCACAGGCTGGATCCAAAACCACCGCTGGCAAATGGGATGAATGGTGATAGGGCAAGTGACATCAGGGAGCCACAAAAGTTAGTGCAGCCATGGCTTACCTCACCGTGGCTGAAGCATGTCCCTAATGAGGCTCAGTATCCTGGAATTTTTCAGCAGGCCCTTCCCCAAAATCCTGACTCCCTCAGGAGCCCCACAGGCTAGATGATACAGCTCCACAGACCAGATCTGGCCTGTGGCTGTATGTTTGACATCCCTGGCTTACAAAGAAATGTCACTTTCTCCCTTTCATTGTCTGTACTAATAGAACAAAAAATTCTACTGAAGCACTTACATTCACTGTAGCTAAGCCAGTGTTACCAGTTGTGCTTACATATATGTCTTCATCCAATGGTACCTATAGGTTTAATCACAAATATGAGTACACTTAGCAGTCAGGTAGGGGAAAGTGACACAAATCTGATAATCTTTTTTGTATATCTGATCATAAATTAATTCCTGATCCTGCAAACAATTCTTACAAATGCAGTATTACACATAGGTGTAGGCCTATTGAATTGAGTGAAACTATTCGTGTGCAGAAGAGTTTGCTGGCCTAAATCAGTGAATTTTTTAATCCCTGAGTGCATCAAATGGATTTTAGCATACTAAGGTAAAAGCTAATCATGTGGTATTTCAACTACGTATGTTTCTTGTTTTAAAAATGTGTCTAGACTATATTTTTTAAAAAGGAATTTGTATAAATTTTCAATTTGCAAAGCTGGTACTATTCACTCACTGTCACAGGCCTTCCAATAAAATTTTGTTCTGTCAGTTTGTAGAGGTGAAGGTCCCCGTGATTTTTGTAAGCCACCTTAACATTCATGTCCAAAGAAAGGCGTGCAGCAAGAATGGAATATTCAGTCAGAGCTTCAAGGGCATTAATTGTATCCTGTCAAAAATCAATTAGGAAGAATTACTACTGGAACTGAAACAAAAGTGCAATAATGGATTGTTAAACATTTTATCCCTAAGCAGGAAGGCATATAATGAGCTATAAATACTTTAAAATACTTTAAAGACAACGATAAGGTATTTAACACTGCCTATGTGGGCATGTTTACATGTAATTTATTTTTCAATAAAAAATTGTCAATAAATGCACAGGCATTTTAAAAGTACACTTGGAACCTGAAAGCTGACATCCTGGCTCCTGCCTTTTGTTCATGCTAAATCTGTATGTTCATAGAGCCTCTACACAAGAGAAATTCCTTGCCCAGGAGAGCATTTCATCATCCCATCCTCCAACATCATAACCAGAAGGAAACATAATTCAACATCCTGCTTGACACCAGACAACTTTGAGGTAAGCAGACTGTTCTAATTTTTATCTGAACCTAATTTGCACAAAATGAACTATTCCAACCGGGAGATCTTCCAACACCTTAATTTCTCCTGTGAATATGAATTTTCATTTCCACCTAAGAGAAATTTTATAATCTCTGCATTCTCCTAAGCCTGAGGAGGGCGAGTGCACCTGAAAGCTTGCAAATAAAGAATTATTTTTGCAAATATGTAGTTGGTATAATAAAAGATATCACCTCTACCACGAGTTCTGATTCCTTTTGCCTGTAAACCAGTATGGCTACAACCTGTATCCCTCAGGCTAGTAAATGAAATTTGGCCAGACCTGTGCAGAGAGGCTGCTCCATTCTATTATTGGCAGAAATGCAAAGCTTGCACAAATTATTAAATTTAGTGTGGGGTGACTTTTTGCCAAGAAAGATGCTAGAAAGTTTGCCACTAGAAATGCCACTTAATTATAATTAATGTTCAGAATTGCAAGTGAATTCATCACTTTGAAAGCATTTCCACATACAAATAAAGTTCTTTTTTTTTTTTTTTTTGGAAAACAGTAAAAAAATTCAGATTCGTAAGTTATTTTGGTTTGGTAACTATTTTAGCAAATTTTATTTTTACTGGTATATGTTTTCATACACAGAGTCAGTGGAGTGAGTTTACAAGTATCTGTGTAAATAAGTGGCTGAGGTCTGCCAGCACTTCTAAAGGTCCTATTATAGTCCCACAACTGGAACTGATCATATGAACAAATTCCCCTGATTCTCATGCAACTTACAGAGCCCACAGTTTGTCATGTCAGATAGATAATGGTATTTCCTTTATTTCTTAAGCTTCTTAGATTTGCTATTTGAAAAACGGGAGTGAAACATTTAAAAACATACCTGTGTTGAATAAAATCCACCACCAAACCTCTGTTCTTCAGACAACCATCTAATGATTGGATTGGCATACATTTTGTCCCCACCCTTCAGAGTGGTAAGCAAAGCATATGCTGTAGTTTCGACCATCTGTGCGGTGCCAGCATTAGGGGTAAAAGCATCTAGGCTCTTCAAAGTGTCTTTCCAAAAACGATAAATAGGTGGCTCACCTAGAAAACAACAAGATTATTTCAGCAGAGGACACATTAGATTGAAAGAGGAGGGGAAACTCACAACACCAGCCAAGTTGGTGGGGAGGAGAAACACTCTTCATGCAAATGTGTGTGAAAGGGGCCAGTTTTTCTTCTACTTTGATTAGACAAGATAGGATTGAGTTACATATTCAATGTATATTCTGAGTTCAAAGTTAAACTTATGCAAAACAGCCAACCTGTCACGCTTCAGCGTAGTTCTTAGCCACAAACGTGGAAAGAGGGAAGGGGATGGAGGGCAAAATTATCCCCCTAACCTTGAATCTGTTCATAGAAATTGGACTGGGCTACCATTCTGTTAAAAATGGCTAGTCAGCAGAGAACACTGCCAATCCCTTGTGCTGTCTCAAGGTTTCTAGTGAATGTCTCTGGAAACTAAGGCCACAAACAGTTTGAGGCTTGCAGCAAGAAAACACCTCAAAGTTGGTTGTGGCAACATGAGAACAACATTTCAAATATCAAAGACCTCAGAGATCCTGAAGATGATGTACAATTATGGATGTGAAATTGTGAATATCAGTAAGAGCAGATTAACAGGTGCAGATAAGCATCCCTTCAAGCAAGAAATAAATGACAACAGGTACGCAGATGAAGCAGTGCTCAACATGACAGGCTGTAAAGATGTCACTTATCAGCTAACTGGGAACCTCTCAAACACCACAACAGTAAGTCCGATTCTAAAGAAGATTTCCAAAGAAGTCAATCAGACAGCACTACACTGCTAGAAAAGCATAGTTACAGGGACAAAGATGAGTTCCACAGTTGCATCCAAAGTGAGAATGAGAGAAAACTAAAGACAACTCTGTCTTTGTGGTAACTGATTTTAATGCCAAAGTAGGATATGACAACAAGGAATGAGCAGAGCAATTTCATAGATGTCATAGACATTAGGGCTGGAAGGGACCTCGGAAGATCGAGTCCAGCCCCCCACCCAAAGGGCAGGAAGTCAGCTGGGGTCATAAGATCCCAGCAAGATAAGCATCCAATTTACTCTTGAAGGTGTTCAGTGTAGGTGCTTGAACCACCTCTGATGGCAGGCTATTCTAGACCTCGGGGGCTCAGACAATAAAGAAATTCTTCCTTATGTCCAGCCTGAAATGATCTTGCAATAGTTTATAACCGCTCGACCTCATCATCCCTGGGGGCCCTCTGGTGAACAAATGCTCCCCCAGATACTGGTGGTCACCCCTGATAAACTTACAGGTGGCCATCAAATCACCCCTGAGCCTGCGCTTTTTCAGGCTAAAGAGCCCCATAGCTCTCAGCCTGTCGTCCCAAGGTCTGTTTTCCTGACCTCTGATCATGCACGTGGCTCTTCTCTGGACTCTCTCAAGCTTCTTCACATCCTTTTTGAATTGTGGGGCCCAAAACTGGACACAGTACTCCAGCTGCGGCCTCACTAAGGCCGAGTACAAGGGGAGAATGATGTCCCGGCATCTGCTTGAGAAGCATCTATGGATGCAAGCCAGCGTTTTGGTCGCTTTACTAGCCACAGCATTGCATTACAGACTCATGGTCATCTTGTGGTCATCAGGTTCTCTTCCGCCCATTTGCTGAGCCTGTCCAGGTCAGCCTGGATCGCCATCCTGTCTTCTGGTCCAGATGCTCTGGCCCAAAGATTGGTGTCATCGGTGAACTTGGCCGGTCCGCTTCTGACTCCAATGTCCACATCATTGATGAAGATGTTGAACAAAATGGGTCCAAGGACAGAGCCTTGGGGGACCCCACTGGTCACAGGGCACCATGATGATTGACTTCCGTCAACCACCACCTTCTGGGTCCGACCACAGAGCCAATTTCCCAGGCAGCAGATCGGGGTGGACCCAAGGCCACAATTTGCCAGTTTCACCAAGAGGTGATCATGGGATACCAGATCGAAGGCTTTTTTGAAGTCAAGATATATGACATCAATCTCTTCTCCCTTGTCCAAATGATGGTCACCTGGTCGTAGAAGGAAATGAGATTGGTCAAGCAAGACCTACCCGCAACAAACCCGTGCTGGCTATCCCTCAGGATGTTGCCGTCGACCAGTCCATTAAGGAATGGCCTCTTTAATAAACTTTTCTAAGACCTTCCCTGGGATAGAGGTCAGGCTGATGGGCCTGTAGTTTGTCGGATCCACTTTCCTCCCTTTCTTCCAGTCTTCGGGCACTTCACCAGAGCACCAGGAGTTCTCAAAGATCCATGCCAGAGGCTGGGCTATGATGCTTACTAGCTCCTTGAGTACCCTGGGGTGAAGATTGTCAGGGCCAGCTGACTTGAAGGTATCCAGCCTCTCAAGGTGTTCCTTTACGAGGTCAGCGTTGATGGAGGGCAAGGGATCTCCCTCACATGGACTTGCCTGTCCCGTAGTGGACATGGGTGTCTCATGGGACTGATGAAAGACCAACGCAAAGTACCCATTTAATAGGTTGGATTTAACCTGGGCGTTAGTTGTCCCATCTGGTTCAGCATTGCTTTTCCTCCGGCTCCCCGCATATCTGAAAAAGGACTTTTTATTGTCCTTGATGCTCAAGGCTAGTTGGAGTTCAGTTGCAGCCTTGGCTTTCCTGGTTTGCTCCCTGCAGGACCAGACCAGTGCAGAATATTCCTTCTTGGAGGTAAATCCCATCCTCCATCCTTTGTAGGCCTTACTTTTTAGCCTCAGGAGGTCTGCTAGATCCCTGGAGTGCCAGTGGGGCTGCTGTGCCCTCTTGCTGCCTTTCCTCCAAGATGGAATGAGGAAGTCTTACTTGGGAATCATCAACCAAGGTGGTAAGAAGCCTGCTGAAGTATGCAGGATGTCCGATCAAGTTCTTGTTAGCTAGCACACTGTTCCCTCAAAAAGATATACACAAAAGCAAAACATGGAGCTTGTCAAAAGCAAAGGCAAATAATCAGAGAGACTGCATCTGCATCAATTTGAAATTTTGTTCATCAGTCCAGAAGGTAAGGATACATCAAACCACAGATGTCAGCAGTGTCTAGAGATGTGTATTGCCAAACAAAAGAATACGGAAAAAATCCACTTTAGATGGAAATAAGCAAAGCTTGATAAAATCAAGTTCAAGAGAATCTGCCTAGGCCAGATGTTCACACTAAGAGCCATTATAGAACGTACTTTATGATATTTGTAAATAATAACAATTGATAGCAGGATTTTTGACTATATAACCAATTTTTTCCTTTTTTAAATATTAACAGGATGTAAATGTCAACAGACACTAAAGATAAAAAACATTGTTTAAAACAATTAATAGTGGAGATGGATGATCCTGCCTGAAATCAGATCACTGGTTATCAAGAAGCATGTGGCAAGAGATTGCTCTTTTTGAAAAAAATTCACCCATGAATTACAAATGTTTCATTAAAACAGCCCTGATACACTCTATAGACGAATCATCATACCGGTCACCAGTCTGCTTTTACGCTATTCACCTAATGCTCTACATTTAGTTGCTCAGGAGGAGACAGAAACTGTTTGGCTATGTTGAACTCTAGAGCAACACGTGCATTCTAACTCACTAAATATTTCAGTTAATTTGAAAGAGGTCTTGTGAAAATAAGACCAAATATATCTATGCAAATGTGCTCACTTAACCAGTACACTAACAAATTCAGTTCCAGGCTTTGACGAGTTCATTTAATAAGTTGCACCTTTTGCAAAAGCTTCTTTCTTTAAGTTGCCAAAGGCTAAGCGTGTACCAGGATGGTTCAAATCCATAAGAGCCAAAGCATAACAAGTTATTGCCAAAGTAAATGTGCTCTGGGAAGCTTGGACATTTCTCAGCAAATACTCTTCTGCTTTAAGTTTAGCATCTTGGAGTTTCTGAAAAGATGAAAAGGGTATATTTTAGAAGTATTATATTTAAGGATTAGATATGTATCATAATACCATTTTATGTACATACATTGTCTTCTGCAACCTAATTCCAAGTTAATGACCTGGCTATTTTCATTGTTCTTTATAACAAAGGTTAGTAAACCATGAATCTATTAATACCTGCTGCTGAAAGTGAATTGTAGGATAAGAGAGATAAGCTTTGCCTCTGAGGTATGTTAGATTAAGATCATTCCAGATGCTCATGATCAGTCCCAAGCTGTCTTTGGATCAGTGCTGGGGCAGGAGAAGAACAATAGTGCAAAGCCTAGCATGTGACTGGACTTGGGGAGTCACAGTTTAAATTCAAATGTTTCTTACCTGTACTGGACACATGTGAATTGACTTTTCAATTCCAATGACAGTAAAGGCTGTGAGATACAAAGCTTTTTCTTTGGCTTCTTTAGGTAAAGTACCCTAAAATCCAAATATGGAAATAAAATTAGGTAAAACAAAGGTGTTCGTTTAAAAGAAGGAATGATGTTTCTGTAAGTAATATTAGTTCAACAGGATTTTTATTTGTAACTTAAAAATATATCCTATTTTTAAAGAGGGCAGCTCATTTAAAAAATAGACCAAAGCCAGACCAAAAGTCAGATGCATTAAGCCAATACTTCCAGGATTTTTATATTATCATTACAAAGAAGCAATATACGTGCTGCTTTTACACCTTCTAAGAAGTGGTATGTAACTACCAGTAATAGGAAGACGTATTAAAGTATGAAGCATTGTGCTCCACTGAAAATTAATTTAGAACTAGTGATAGAGAGCTACAAACATGTATAGAAACCAGTAGTGTAACTAGGGGTGTTAAAGGGCGCACAGGAATGGGTGCTGCCACCAAACCTTCTTGTTACGCCTCTTGAGTGTAATTTAGTGGATTCAAGAAAAATTATCTTTAAGACCATGATTCAGCAAAAACATTTAAGCATATGCTTAGGGACTTTGCTGAGCAAGGGTCCACCATTGCAGTTGGGTAAAATAAAATGAAGTGCCTTACAACTTTTAAACAATGCACAAATGAAATGTTCTGTTTTCATACCTGTAGTTTCACTGCCTGATAACTTGAAAGTTCCTTGAATGATCCATCAGACATCTGACAACAATCAGTAAGCCATACAAGTGAATTACAAACAGAAATGTGATCCAGATCAATATATTCACTAACTTGTCCAAAAATCCTTAAGGCAAAAGCGGTCAACCTGCCAAACAAATCAGACAAAATATAGATAGTTTGATAAGCCTGTTTAGAGGGTTAGTATTTTTTTCTCAGTTTATAATACCAGCTGTCTAATTTGAGATAGCAAATCCTGTTTGATAGCTTCTTTCTGTAACAATCTGCCCATGATCCATGAGTGGAATTACCACTTACATTCACGGGCTACTGTGCACAGATTAATGGCAATACTCTTGATAAGACCTTCCTGTAAACTGTCCCTCCCTGCTCCTTTATGTTTGGGTAGTGTGAAAGGAGTGTTTCTATGGTGCTGTGTATCTGGCTAATCACCTGCCCTTGAGCCAAAATGGTTAGAATGTTGTTTGGTTACTTTGCATTCCTTAATTGCCAAGGAGGCACACCTGGGTTGAAAGAGCAAATAACAAGAATAGGATTTGCTCCTCTGTTATTAGGAAGGCAAAGCTGTTAGCTTGTTGCCAAAAATTCTGATGTTCAGTGCAGAAAAATGCCTAAGGGACAACTCCAAGAGTAAATGACACCCCGCAGCTTTCAACAGTGGATCTTGTACAGAGAGTAGAGGGGAGACCAGAATAGTTTCATAGTAGCTAGGGTCAGGAGGGACCTGAACAGATCATCTAGTCTGACCCCCTCCCACAGGCAGGAATGAATGCTGGGTTCACAAGACCCCAGACAGGTGATCGTCCAACCTCCTCTTGAATTTGCCCAAGGTAGGGGCAAGGACCACTTCTCTGGGAAGTTGGTTCCAGATTTTGGCCACCCTAACTGTAAAATATTGCCTTCTGATCTCTAACCTAAACCTATTCTCCATCAGCTTATTACCATTGTTCCTCGTCACCCCAGGTGGTGCTGGGGAGAAAAGGGCTCTACCTATTTGCTGTTGATCCCCCCTGATGAGCTTGTAGGCAGCTACCAGGTCCCCCGTCAGCCTCCTCTTGCTGAGGCTGAACAGGTTCAAGTCCCTCAGTCTCTCCTCATAGGACCTGTCCTCCTGCCCTCTCACCAAGCAGGTAGCCATCCTCTGAACCCTCTCCAGGCTGGCCACATCCCTTTTGAAGTGCTGTGCTCAGTACTGGACGCAGTACTCTAACTGCGGCCTGACCAAAGTTGCATAGAGGGGGAGGATCACCTCTCTGGACCAGCTTGAGATGCACCTTTGGATGCATGACAAGGTGTGGCTGGCCTTGCTGGTTATGGTCTGGCATTGGCGGCTCATGTTCATCTTGGAGTCAATAATGACTCCAAGGGAGTCTCCCCAGTCTGCATGTATGCTGTGGATTCCTTCTCCCAGAAGTATTTATTGACCTATGTCCTGCCCACTGATGGCCTTAAACCATCTTAAACAAGGGCAGGAGGAAAAAACTTTTATCCCTAAGTCATGGGGATAGGCTGAAGATGAACTGTCTCAAGCTACTGGTTTTAGTTGGTTGCATCATGGGATCTTTGTAATCCATATGGGAACTTATTAAAATACCCAAGAGGAGGCTGGAGCACAGAGCCCCACACAATTTTAAATTAATCAAGTTGCAGTCTCCTGCTTAAACAGATCCTCCTTCTCTGGCATGCATTAAGTCACATGCTCTGCTTGGTTCAAAATATTGCCCTTAATTAAGCCTCAGTCACTGCATGGAAGCAAGGAACTGAATCAAACCTTTCCAATGCAACTGAATTAGACTGGTCTATTTAACTCACCAAGTGCTGGGTTTCCCGTCCTTCCACATGCTGTAGGAGAAGTCTCTGTTTCTGAATGACAATATGCTTACAATTCCTAAGGGAGACATAAAAGACACAGTGCTTCTGAATCACAATTTGTATGAAATGGTATGATCACTCAAGAGTCAAAATTTGCCTTCTTTTAATGTTGTCCTTTAGTCATTTGGTTTCTAAACAAGGCAAAGAATGGTCATGTTCCAGTTCATCCAAGTGTTTATATCCCCAGAAGATATCAACTAAAACTGTATTACCTACAAATTACAAAAGTATATATTTACAGCACTTGCTGCATAGATGCCTTACCGGGAATCAAAGTATTCTTGTTATTTGCTTATTATTTACAGAAATGTTACATAAAAAATAGCTCAAACAGTTTTAGTTAAAAATATTATATAAACTATGTATCATTATCATTACATTTTCGTAAGTAATTAACTCTCCTATTCAATAAGTCCCTAAAAAACTTTGGAACAAGACAAGAAATTGGAGAATACATTTTTTTTACCTTCTTTCATCTTCCTCTTCATCTTCACTTCTGAAGTCAAGATTTCAGTGCCAAGTAAATCCCAGTTACTGGTCTTTTCCAGGTAGTGATACACATAAAACACTGGTACAATACTCATAAGCTCAGCCTCTGCACTGCCCTTGGGCAAATTAGTAAGAAAACCAACACCTTCAGGTTTGAGGACTGCAGAGATTACTTCACCCATAAGTTGTCCTGTGAAGAAAAACGAACGCTGACTTAAATGGTTTCCAAGGGCAGAATTTGGCCTGTGATAGTTAAAGAAAATATATTTTTATTACATGTCACTAAAGATCAGATTGTACGTTTTCTGAAGGAAAGGCTAGTGTACGGAGACTTTTCCTCAAAAAACAGGGAACCTGAGTATAGTCAGTTGGATGGGAGCAGGAGAGGAAGCTAGCTGGAAACAGGTAGGAAGGTAGGAAGGTAGGAAAAAAAGAAAAAAAAAAAATCAAAAATAAAAAACTGCATCTATTTTACCTTTTACACTCACAGTCCTGTCCATTTTCGTTTTGGGTACCATATTAAATGGTACCCTGTGTCGAAATTCTTGTCTTGTTCTGACTGAACCTGAAATTGAAAAATATACGCATAAAATATAGTCTTATTTGTGTGACAGTGAAATTCAGATCCCATAGTCCTGTCCGTTCAGATTTGAGGCCACATCTATTTGACATGGTAGCAAAGAAACATGATTTTTTTTTAGAACTAGATGAGTCCAAAATCCAGATCCAAACAACACTGATCTTTGAAAAGTGTATTTGGTGATTTGGTAACAGATTAAACTGGCACTTCCCTTTTAGAACAGTACTTATCTTGACATAAATGTTGTGGCTTGGATTCATCTCTAGTTAAACTGGATCATTTTCTATTCTAGGAAACGTTTGACTATAATTGAGCTTGTTTGGTTGTAGAAGAAAAAAGTCTGCATTCCATATAAGATTCCACTTACTACAAAACTTTAAAAAGGCAAACCGCTTTAAAGTGGATTCTATTAGTCTCTGGATAGAGGACAAGAAATCTCAAGGAAGGAATATGTGAAGGTTGTACCATGAGGAAAACTACATTTTTTAAACTTGATTTTCATGCTTGTTTGGAATGGAAGAGTGAAAAAAAAATAGATAATGGAATAAAAAAAAAAATTCTCCATACCATAAACACCTTTTGGATCCAGAGTGAAACCTGCATTAAGTTCCCTTTTAATGCCTTCTGGCTGAAAAAAAAGAAAGACAAAAATAGGCAGCATATCAAAACACATTTGTTTAATTGAATATATTTTCAAAATGAATAATTAAAAAAAAATATGAATTAGACTCCATCAAAATTGTCTTTTATTTTTCTTAGAGATTTTTCCTGCTGCTCTCTATTTTAAGAACAAAATCTTCAACCTAAGTTAACAACAAGTGTAAACTAAGTTGGTAGGAATGATAAAGCAGTAATAAATATAGCTTTCCATAAAATGTGCTTTAGCATTTGAATAATGCAAACAACTAAACAAACAGAATTCTCCAGTCTGCGTTACAATAAGCAAATATCATTTTCAAAAAGGTAACTGTTTAAGAGCCCAATCTCTCAGTTGCTCCACTGAATAATTCTTGAGGGAGTCTAGGGGAGTTGTGTGTGTGAAAAGTATGAAAGAAATATTTTTTGTAACTTCTACATACACTACAGTGGAGCTCATTGGAAAAGTGCTCCTCTATTAATCAGAATGATACAAGTTGTATTATATTACAGAACCCAGGAGAATGATGGGCATTTTTTAATACAAATAAATTACATATGGCATCTGGATTTAGTAATAGCAAAATGTAGCCATATGAATATATTTGCATAAATATCAATCACTTATTTCAACCACATTTATCTGAAATGAGGATAAGCTCTAAAAAGGGTTTTGATCTTACCACAACACGTAATGTTTTCACTAAAATTTCACTGTCCCGGCCAGTGTACAGTGTAAAGTTGATTGTGTGAAGACCTAATTCCAAAGGCAGCAGCCTGATGGTTACTGATGAGACAGAAGAACTCTCTATGTTGCTAAATTTACAATTCCGCATCCTCTGCGGACCAGTTGAAGATTCTCCAAACAAACAGATTCCCTCTCCAGCAGCTACTTTAACACAGAACTGAAACATCAAAGATTTTGAATGTTTACTCATGTTATAAGCAACAACTGTGAAACACATACGTCCATAAATAAATTTAAAACTTTATTAAGAAAATGTTAAAATTATAATAGTTAGTGTTACTACGTGGTTGTATACTACATTGCTAGACATTTTTTTCCTACCTTTGAAATAAGTAAAACCAGTTAAGCCATCCTATATTTGAAGTTTCAAATTCAATTTTCTGAGCAGAAGCAAAGGAATTATATCATTACTTTTAACTACTTATATTGGGATAGTAGGAAAAGGTTTTTAGGCTATTTCAAGCCTAGAGAAAGATGCAGTCTCCCTGCCCCAAAGAATACACAGCTTGTAACGACTGGCAAAATACTCATGCTGCATTTGGATGTACAATGGGAGCACAATAGACACACTTACGCTTACTTTTATCTAGCTTTGTCGGGAAAAGTGAAGATGCAAAAGTCCAGGCTTCGATTCAAGGTAATCACACAAAATAAATACCCAGAGTTCCCAGCCATTTGCACAGCCCATACAGAAGCCTAGAAATGCCACTTCTTCACTGGAACCACTGTCTGAATTCACTAGCTTAATTTAGCTCAGGTACTGAAGAATCCTGACCCAGGCACATATGCTGAATCATAGCAGAGACAAATCCTTTAATAAAGTAATATGTCTATAAAACTTATACAAATTACCTTAAGTGTGGAAGTTCCATAGTTGTAAACAGATCCTTTTAATTTAATTTGTTCTCCACGCACAACAGAATAAGGTATATGCATGCTCAGGAAGACATCTTTAAAAACCTGCACTTCAAGTGGATCAGCCACACATATACCTATAAAAAATTAAACACAACTGCATATAGTTGGATTATTACATGAAGTAAGCAACACATCCACTTAAGTCCTTGCAACTTCATTGTCTTTACTGGTTTCTTAGCCATCTACAAAAATCTGCTTTGATATTGTTAGCTTGATTTTTTTCTGAAATAGCCAGATTTGCTTTACCTCCCTTTCTGAGCTCTTAACTGTCCACTCACATCACATACTCGCTCTACCCTCCAAACCTGACTTCTGCTCCGATCTCTCCTTCCTGAAGTCCCGAGCTGCTTGTTCAGTGGTACTACCACCTCTATCAGGAATTTTTCCTTCTCCCTCTCCTCAAGCAATCAAATTCCTTTCTTTAAATTTAACTGTGAAACTTAATTTTGTTTAGCATCCTATATTATGATTGTAATACAGAGATGCACAGGTTTTAACTTCTGACAAATACTGAATAGAAACAAATTTAATTAATTTAGATGAAAATCATGCTTAAAAATCAGATTGTTATGATTATACTGCCTTTGTTTTTCCCTAACAAACTTATTCTCTGTTACATTTTCATTATCCAGATTCTAGAAGCAATGATCTATGCTTCATTACACTTGAAAAATAGAATAATAGCATCACAGGCCATGTCTACACTGCCTCTTGGCCAAGGCTGCTGAAAAACAAGACCCAGCTCTCACTCTTGCACAGGGCTGAGCCCAGCAATTGGGCAGAGTAAACAGGTTGGTTTTTTTTACAGGGGTTCTCAGCATGTGCCCCACTAGTGCTCTCAGACTTTGTGTCTTGGGAAAGAGACTGGCACTGGAGCAAGCACTCAGGATGTTGGGAACATGCAACTAAATTATGAACATATGGCAACCAAAGAGAAGTTTCGCAAAAACAAACTAAATCCAGTGCACCTAATTCTTTTAGGTATCAGTAAGTGGGGTGGAAGGGCTTACCTTTATCTGAAATGCTAACACCTTGTATTTCCCATGTAGTCAGAGAATCAGGCAGAGTTACTGGAAGACTCTTTGATCTGTATTTAAAATTATTTTTGTGGATGAGTATATTTATATGTTTCCATTATTCATTTGTTAATACAGATAACTGACATAGTACTACACAGATTCAATCCAGAAAAGGTTTCAATGTCTAACATAGATTCAGACAAGATAAGAAGTTCTGAAGGATCTGAAGCTATTGGTTTTTGAACACTAAAAAAAATTATTGGTCTGATTAGGCTTAATATGGGTTGCTCTTGAAGGACTATAAGCTAAATGAGCAGTACTAAAGTGGAATAACTACATAATGCCCCAAAAGGTTTAACAATGTAACTTTGGGACAAATGAAAGAAAAACTGTTCAGCTGAAAAACATTTCTGTCAGTTGCAAAAAGAACTGCAAAGGATGAACTCACTGCCCTGTTAGCCATAGCTAACTTACTGTGCCAAGCACAGCGCCTCTGAATACTTCATGCTACTTGGCACTGTTACTCAGCTGTGCTAATCAGCCAGCTCAGGATAGTGGAAACAGCTGCATTGTGCTTCCATTTTAGGAGGCAGCCCACAGGGAGCAGCATAACATGTTTAAAGGCACTGCTGCCTACTTGCCTAGCATGATAATTTGGTCTGCAGAAATGTCCTTTTGAGTCAGTATAAAAAATAGGGATCATAATCATTTCCCTTAGCAGCAAGGATGTCTCTTTCTCAAATGATAGTAAATGATTTAAAAAAAAGTACCCTTGGGGAACCTGGTGGACTTCCCATAACCAGCTTTCAGGGAAATAGCTTCGAACCTCTGGTTTAACCAGATCCAGGAAAGCCTCAAATTCTGGAAAAAAAAAAAAAAGATAAAAAAGGGTGCATCTGTACCAGTTCTGGGGCTCTCCGGGTAATGGAGCTCACAGGCAAGCCTTGCCCACTCACTCCTGCTCTGCACATGCATTATGGAAATGAGGCAGTGAATCTGCTCTGATGAGACCCCCACTTCCCACTGCCACTTTCAGCCATGCTAGATAGAGATCACAAGACAAGCAGGTGGGTCTCCACAAAATGTCTGGAGATCTGTGTTTTCAGGAGCACCTCAGAAGTAGCAAAGACAGGGCTAAACAAAGAAATACAGGGATTCCCAGCATTTCATACCCACTTTACCCACCATTCAATCATAATCATTCTATTACTCAAAATCTTTGCTTCTGATTGGCTTTGGTACATGAAAAATGTATTTTGAATGCTTTCACAACAAGCTACCATTATCTCAGTGCATCCATCTGCACAACACAAATGCACTGCTATTAACCAAGGTGTGCTGTTGGTGGATCTGAAAGCATTAGGAATATACAGATTGCCCTTTGGCCCATCTTGGGTGCACAGCTAGGAGGAAACTCAGACTCCTACTCTCCTCTCTGTGCTGAGATCTCTAATACTCAATGGCCTAGTTGGGTAGGGGATTTGACCATGACATTGCAGTGAAGGGTTTGCATCCATGTCGTGTCCAGGATGTAACTCCTCTCATCTCCTGTCCTAGCTCCAGTGTGCCTAAAGGCAATAAGGTCAGAAATATTGCTTCCTGCCATGGTCCCTGAACAAGCTTGATGGTACAGAGACCTACCCATCCTGAAGCATGTAGAACATAGGTTTCTTGGTACCCAATTAAATTAATGATGGAACAACCTCACCAGACACTGCAGCTTCAGCATAGGGGTGTGCGAAGCAGGCCCTATTCGATTCGAATTTGGCCCAAATCGGGGACAGTGATTTGATTCATTGATTCAATCACTGTCCCTGATTCAACTGGGCCGAATCTGCATCTAAAGATTCAATACCAATTCGGAGAATCGGCCATTCAGACATAGACACAGCTTTAAATGCTTTTTCTACATACCTTGAGGTAGCAGGCACAGCTTATGATTGGTGCGATGCTGGGGTGCATGGAGCATCCCACAGGAGCATGGGGGGGCCCCCCACAAGGTCGGCAGCCACCCGGAAGTGGACCAGAACTACTTCCGGTCCACTTCCAGGTCAGCCAGGGAGCATGCTGGAGGCTCCCCCTGCGCCCCCCTGGCTCGGCCATCAGGCACAGGGGTCCTTGGGTGCCCCCTCCGACCCAGGAGGCACCAATGGCTGAGCCAGGTGGGGGGCATGAGCGGGGGAGGTGGACTGTGCTTCTGGTCCACTTCCAGGTCTGCTGCCAAGTGCACTGGGGAGCCCCCCATGCTTGTGGGACACTCCATGCACCTAAGCATCGCAGCACTCATGAGCCCCTGCTACCTTGAGGTATGTAGAAAAAACATTTAAAGCTGTCTCTGTGTTCGAATCGCCGAATGTTTCTGAATCAATTCGGAGGGTTCCGATTTGATTCAGAGTGATTAAAGGGTCCTCTGATTTGATTCAGATTCAGAGATTTGGCCACCGAATCGGGATGAATCAAATCAGGGACCAAAGCTTTGCACAGACACCTAAACCGTACTCTACTACATGCGTCTCATAGGTACGTGCACGCACCCACACAAGGATTAAAACCCCCAAGACTTACGCTTTCGTGCCAACATTAGAACTTTGTTGGGCTCTTGCTGACGCAGTTGATTTGCATATTCACAGCAATCTTTAAATGCATATAAGCACTTTGGGCCACCCTGAACTCGTTTAGTTCTTTCCTCACAAGTCTCACTGACTGGATAGGCTCTTACTCCATCCATGCAGCACTGACGAACTGCTTCAAGTACATATCGGGATGCTGAAATAATAATGAAATAAATTGAACAATCCTCTCCCTTGAGATACAGCCATTCTTCTAAAAATGCATTTTAAGTAGTCACACCAAAATGATTTCTTCTACATTACTGCTCTGGATAAAGATTTGAGGGAAACCTACCTTCTTATTTTTCTAAAAGCTGGTGCTCAAAATGGCCTCTTCAAATTAGTACTATGCTACTGAATCAAAAATTTTAAAATGCATAAGAAAAAGGAGACAAATTACATTTTACAATATAAAGGCAGCTATAGAAGTTATAATCACATTTGGCTACCTCTAAGGGGTATATGATATGAACTGGTGATCTCAGTCCAGTCACTGAGGATAGTAACCCACAATACAGATGTTACTAGTACCACTGGAAGCCACAGAGGAAGGAATTAAGGGCCATACAGAAACATTCAGATTCCCGATTCCCAATTTGTCTCTTCTTTTTCTATACTTTTAAACTTAAAAATAAAACTTTTGAACAACCTCTTTTCTTTATTTCCTCCTCAAAGTCAAATCGTTTGGATCGTACAATTGCAGCACACATCTCATCTGTTTAAAAAATAAAATGGAAATGTTATAAAGTTTTTTTCCCAAACATTTATCCCATCTGCAAAATAAATTAGTTTAATTATTTTCTAGAATCTAGCTGTAACCTAGGGGCAGTGTTTACTTTAATTAATCGCAAATGAAGCTATAATTGCTTTAGGCTTTAAAATATAAGATTTTTTTAAATAGCTGGTAGGGTCGGAAGGGACCTACGCAGATCTGGGGAGATCTGGGGAGCAAAATATATAATCACAATTCTTATACACTATACACACTAGTTAGTGTGTGTGTGTAGTTAGCTGACTACAATTCCAATACAGCTACTTTTCATTATTATATAATTACTTTGCAACATAATAGCTACAAGATACAATATGAGGCTGGAGAAAAACAAAAAACAGATTAACACCTTCATGGTTAAAAGGCGATAGATTACCTGCATCTTTTGAATCATCTGCATTAGCATTAGTTAGAAATGTAAGCCCAGCTAAGCGGAATACATTAACATTGTTCTGTCCTCCTCCAGCACCACATCCAAGATCACTCTTTTCCAATTCTAGCATTACCTGTAGGAAAAAATAAACCAGAACATAACTTTAATGTAGGATATACTATATGACTCGTGAGACCTGCGAGCATCTACAAGCCACTTTAATCAGTAAATGATACAAGGCTGCCACTAATTCAATTTTACTATTCTCACCTGTACTAATCTGTCGGGTAAAGCCACTATGAGGTGTTGTTAAATAGCTACAACATTTAACTTCTGAGTTTATGTCACTTTCAGTGGCAGCCAAAATTAATTAAAAATATATAAGTAATTTGCAAAGAGCGCTGACCGCTAAACTAGAACAGTATGTTACAGTGTGCATATACAGTGATATATATGTTATCCTACCAGTGCGCTTTCAAGCCCTAACATGAAACGATCACTACCAAGACAGAAACTTCCATGCCTATTCACAGACATGAAGTTCTCCAATAATGCTTTTGGTGATGTAAAATCTGGACACACAACTCTTT